CCTTGGGGACTAGTAAAGCCCTATACAAATACAGGCCATTTACCATTTTACCATTTACCAACGGATGATGTCACCCTGGTTACGTATTCTTTTTTAGGATGTCTGTGCTTTTACTAAAGTAAAGGATTTTATTGCTTTATTCTCCACTGTATTCAACCCTGTTTTTATTCTATTTCATTTCCCACGAGGCCCACCCATGTCATCCTTGATAAGTCACCACATTTAGAAAATCCCTAAATTGCTAGTGTCTTTCAGCTCCACCAACTGCTCTTATCATTACACTGTAAAGAAGACAGGCTATTTAGAGTAACAGTTACAGTTAAGGATCACACTGCTGTTTCCTGTTCTACGTCTCACCTTTACATCCCTCACAAGTGAGAGCATTATAGTGGTATCCAGAGGCCTTGTCTCCACATACAACACACAGTTCCTCCCCTTTAACCCTTCCAGCTTGTGACAGGTGCCGGCTTCTCTTGCACACAGCCGGCACAACAGAGGAGCCCTCCTCCATCTCCGCCTCATAGCTGCCCTCGAGGGGTCCTTTCCTCAGTTCATATATCCCTGTGTGTGAATACCATTCGTCTCCATTATACTGTGGGTAGTAGTTCTGAGTGGAATAGTATGGAGTGGAAGACACTGTTGGCTCCATGAATTGATACTGCATGCTGGGATAGCTGGTGAAGGGTAAGATGTCGGGATCCTGCAGGAGAGGGCTGCCTTGATCTGTGAGGATATCTAAGAGAAGAAGAGAAATGACATGTGGCTTCATCTTAGTCAAATGTAATCAGAGACGCAGTACAGTTGTTGCAGTTTTAATATGAACAAGTTACTTGAATGATAAAGTTCCTTGAAAAGCTAAAGTGTCAAAGTGTTAAAATATTAAAAGAAAAGCTTTGCAACGGTTGACTCCTGCCTTTAAACTAGATTTACTAAATGCAAGGTAAAAGAAAATTCCAACCATAGAGAATTAGTAGACTCTTACATGACAGTAACACCGGAACGACCAACAGATTACATGACAAAAGATAAGCACAGACACGGAGGACAATCAGGGGACGTGAACAGATTGAGATAATCAGCCAGGAGAGGGAAGTAGAAGCAGATACATGATACAAGAGGCAACTATTGTAAAAAAAATAATACAATACAATAAAACAGGAAGTAGGAACAACACCTAAGGAGAGAAACACAGACACATAAGGCCATTTACCATAAATAAATTTGACACAGAGGAACTGGCACGGGAGAGTAAACAGAAAATACTGAGGCAACAACGTAACTAAATAAGTTAGGGAGCGGATGAAGAACTGAAGGCTCAAAATACAAAAGTATATACATCAAGATAAAGCTACAAGCTAAAATCCAAGAAAAGAATATCAAATAAACCGTCGTATAGAAATTCAAAAATCAAAACTCTGCTTCCAAGAATTGTAAACCGTGACGGTTAAACAAAGTTGAAGGTTTAACTACTTTCTTATAACTATAAACTATAAACCCATAAATGATTAACAACCTGCTTACACGGAGGACATTGTGGCCTTTAGAATTAGATTTAACAGCACAATGAACAAAATTACACATTTGCAAGTGATTTCCAGTCGAAGAATGTTAACGGGATCGTACTTTTGGTTCATTATTACATACTGATGAATTTTATAACCTTCATATACAACTTATCAGGGATGACTATTGACAAGACAACACAATGCAATCATCTCTTGACTAAAGTGACTGTGAAATGTTAAATTTTGCTTTTAAAGCCATCAGACCACCTAATACTAGCAGAATATCAGTATAGTATAATGTAACACTGACCTCTTGAAGACTTAGTCTGGACCATGGCCATTTCCGTGAGCCCAAACACACAGATTATTTTGAAACTTTGCTCTCTGATCCACACTGTCCAGCTGTGCTCTGTTCAAGTCTATCTTTCCTTTTATTAACCAAAACAGTCATCTTCAATTTCTTCCTTTCGATCGGCGTGCTTTTCCCAAAAGATCTGAGTACAGTACCTACTGTAGGCACTTGCTTGAGTAATCCCAGAAAGAGCAAAGGTTGTCACAGCTACTTATTAACCACATAGTCACATTTCTTCACACTGCAAGTAGCCAGCTGATATCAGAAGTCATTTCCAGATGTGGACACAGGTACAAGCTGACTGCTACTGTTCAGTGAGCTTGAATTTGTGGACAGGTCAGATCCGGCTCATGCAATTGTTCGGAGGAATTTGAGCATCCATAAATGCTTTACAGGTGCTGGATGAGAGTCACCTATTGTTAGTTGATATTTTCATTCAAAATTAAGATCTGATTTCTAAAGTAGGCGATAGCAGATTTGCAGAGTGTACTTTTTACTTTAAAAAATAATTTTGTTCAGCTTGTTAGTGGAAGATTGGCGTTCTGCTGCCACTCACTCAGAGTTGTTACAGACCCTTAGTCACTGGCAGATAACTGACTATTGTGACAGAAAAATGCCACAAAGTAGCCTCAAACTATTAAAGTATCTGTTTGTTTACAGGTCACTGTGAATTAGTAATAAATCATCAATAAATTATATCTTTGCAAATGGTCTAATATTCAGTTCTTGCTGAAACCCTGACTAGTGGCTGAGAGCTTCGCTTTGGTTAAATCAGTTCACTGATACTCATGGTTGTGTTTGTACTGTCTGCGCTCATGGCTCCTTCATCTGTACATAAAAACCTGTACAGAAACTTCTGTTCTAAAAATGTGCTAAAGAGTAGGGTGAAGGTTAAGGCTAAGACTGGGTTTTTATGGTGCATGAATGACTCATCTATTAATGTGTATTTACTCCAACATTGTCTTTACTACAACTTAGCTTGAGTGATATCCTACTATTTCTCTTGTTACTTAGCACTAATTAGCAGGGATCCCCGTCTTTGAACTGCACTCAATGAGTCTGTCAATGCAGCCTGCCAATTAATCTTTCTACTGTTAGAACTGGAATTCAGCACTGCCCTCCTCTCATACAAACTTGATCACTTGTAGCTCCTAAAATCAAACCTGCAACAATTTCAAGCTTCAAAATAGTTCACAGACCCATGCATGGGTGATGCCAGGGTGGCTACAGCCATCTTTTATATATGGTATATATGGTACAAGTTAAATGCAGCGATGATTTCCCCATGCTTGTACTGATTATAATTGCAAAGAATGTTGTCACTTGCTCAGTTTTGATTTTGTCTTTCTGTAAACTTACCATAAAAGTGGGAACTCTCTAACATGGAGAATTCATCGTTGGGTGGGAGCTGCAGTGGTCCCACCACATTGATGTCGGGGCCCATCCACTCATTCATTCAGGAGCGTTGTCTGTCACCGCCTCAGAAAACACAGGTTGGACTGGGCTGGAAAGCAGTCACACGCTTTGAATTTGGGGAGCTCTGTAACAAGCATGAAAAAGTGATTTGTCAACCGAGATGAAGCAACGCAAGTCCCTTAGACGTCTGCGCCCCGCTGGAATTAAAAATCATCTTGGGAGTCTCCACATCATTGCACCTGACAGGTCTCTCCCACGCTGGGAAGAGATGTTCGGTGCTTCCCTACAGAGAGGTGGAGGATGAAGGTCAGATGACCAGACTGCCGCAGGAAGACCAAGTCATGGAAAGAGGTCTGTTCTTTCTTTCTGTTATTGCCTGTCCCGTTACAGATTCATGTAAGACTGTGTCATTAGTATGACAAGATCATTGTCTCTGTTAATTTGATTTCACTGAACATATCATATGGAGGCCTCACCTGTTAGCAAACAGCACTGCTTATTAAATCTTATATTAAAATCTGGACAGCTGAGGAGATTGAAAGCTTCGCGTACAATATCTTAATACCAGTTCTCAAATGTGTCAGAGGGCTTTCTGCTGCTAGGGACAAAATATGTTCCCATGTGAGACATGACTTTTATAGACCTCACCAGCCACATTTTTAATTAACTAGGTGTAATTTCCCTTGAGTCTAAAGCTACCCACAAGAATTCAGAAACCCGCTGCCCACACTTCAACCAAATCTTCAAACAATGCCACACCACAGCCTTAATAATAAGTCACCAGTAAATTAGAAATATGTTCGTTCTCAATCTCACAATTCTTACCTTCTCTTTGGCAGCTGAGGTTGAGTTCCTTCTTGCTGAATTTTTCCTTCCTGTGACTTTTTCTTTTCTTTTTCTTTTTTTTTTTTTGGTTTGGGAGGGGGGAATATCCACGCTGTGAGCTACAACTCCATCAATACTTTCTAATGAACATTAAGCTGCTGGTGCCTGGACATCATTGAGACCATGTGTGACTAAGTTGGGGTCAGGGAGAAATGGAGGGTGGTTATTAATTAACCCTCCTCCCTATCCAAGCCAAATCCCTCTTTATCTGAATAAGACAACAGGCTACCGCATGAATTCCCACCCACATACACAAACATCACACACATGGAGCCATATCCAGTCATTAGCATGACACAAAAACTGGTATGAGTGGGAGCCGGCCGAGTATAAGCCATGTCTGTTAAAATCATCTAACAGTTCACTTGTAATAATGAAAGCCGGGGAGAGCTGTGGATTTTGAGCGATATGTTTGTTTTCCTTTACAATATTTTCATGAGTGCAAAAAAAATTGAGGTATAATGGAAAACTTCTGAAAGCAAATGTGTGGCAATAGCTCCTATCTGTCCTTGAACTGATTCTACCCATTTTATCACGTCATTGGAGTATGCAGTACCAGTCTACACCAGATTTGTTTGTTCTGGCACTCCGCAGACCCCAGGGTACCTGCCCTATTGTCTGTGTACATTCTAAGACGAGCATGCACACTGGAAAATGTTCTTCTCTTTATAATTCTTAGTTTTCCCCAAAACAAGTTTAATCATTGATGGGTTGTTGCTCCATCCAAAGAGGGCCTTCTGAGTCAACAGACAGTCTCTTTGAAATAAACAGAACCTTTGCCATTGGCTGCTGACTGTTTGTGGACTATCTGCTCTGTGTTTAAGAGCATGTGAAGAATGAGCCAGCAGCTATGACTGTAAATGGCTGGAAACAACTCCACTAAACATAAGTTGCATATGTCTGTAATATTCAGAGCTCTTATAAGTATGGGCAATGTTACTTTAAAATGATTAAAGTTTATAATATGCCAACAGATATTAGGCTTTGTCATTCCTTATGGTGTTTTGTTCTTTATTCCAGATGGACTGTGTCATTATGGCTGGCATGCAATAATGTAACAGAGGCACACCTTGGTGTCATACGTGACATAACAGGCCGCATATTCACCAGCGCTTTGGATCCCTGTACAGCTGACCAGCAACAAAGTCCACAGTCCTTGAAATGTCTTATCACCATGTGAAAGGTAATAATCATTGGACTTTTTGAAGGCAAATCACACATAGCATTAATTAAGTCTTATAAAAGAGGGAATAGCTCGTACAAGAGAGGCTAACATGCTGGCAATGAACATCCTGTCCAGCAATTATGTTTGGGGGTGTAAATAAAGCAAGCGGAGAGATAAGACAAAGGATGTTTACAGTGAGATGGAACGCAGACCCATCTTAGGGATACTCAAAAATGTCTCATTTGAGCAAGCTGACATAAACGAGCACCATAAGGAACAGCATATTCTGTCAAAAAATGAGAATCAAAATACAGAGACAGCACACTTTGCTAATGATAATAATTAAAGAATAATTAGTCAAGGAGCTGGGTAGACACAAATTGAACTAAACCTAACGATATAGAGTTAACATGAAGTTAAAAGAGGCGAAAATATGTTTGGGTATTATCTACTATCAGCACTTCCAAGTAGTCTGTTGACTTTGGTGATTACATCACTTTCCCTCGAGTGCCACTACCAGTTGTGTTGTGATTAAAATGTAAAATATTTTTAGTTTCAAGTCCCTCTCTGGTTAATTTGTGATTCATTACATTTTTAAAGTGTTTTAGGTTTTAGAAAAAAGAAAAAACAAACAAACAAACAATGTTAAAATGCCTAGATTTATTAAAAACAAACATACTGACAGTATGCTTTGTTTTGTTTTAATTTAATCTGAAATTAAACTTCAGCAAATTCAAGTAGCTAAATTTGATTCCTTGTCTGTGTTTGCAGTGTTATTGTGTTTTAATGCAATTATCTGAGAAAGGGAAAGACTTTCCATGACATCAAGTGACTAAGGGTAGAAAAACAGCTGGCATTTCCAGGCAATCAATTGAAACTGCCTTCATTCTTATAACTATCTTATCATAATGATGAATATTGTTGATTTACCTACTATATTTAGCACCTTGGAATGTCTGTTGTTGTGAGTTGACACTATATAAATTGGACTAAATTTAACTGAATTAAATTGACCTGATAGTAAATAAATTAGAGAGTTACCTAGGGAATGACTGCCAGCTTCCAGCATGTAGGAAAGGTTAGCTTGTAGTAATTAGCAGGTACCACTACAGCTAGGTAGCATTAACTGTTAACTTAGCTCTCCACCCTTTTGTGTAAACACATACTTCTGGTTTTGTCACAGCCAAGCTAAAGGTTTGAAAAGTTGTCTACGGGCCAATGGGTGATCTCATATTAGCTATGCCCATTTCTTTTTATATATACAATGCACTGTCAACATTTAGCTAGCTTGGCTAATCATCCTTATAGACTGTATTACCAGTATGTTGGCTAGGTTGTTCAACATTTTTATGTTTAGCATGAATGCATGCAAGTATCATGAAATGTTAAAGAAATTCAGGCTATTTTTGCATATACAGTAATCTCAACACTGAATAGAAATGTAGTTTATTGCATGTCAGGTCTGTTTGTGTGTGAATGACGTGTATTCTCTCAAACAATAAGATAATCATTTACTATACAAAACAGGGTTTTTCGTTCTCTTTTAGGAGTAATAATGATGAACAGCAAGTGCAAATTTTCCATATAGTTTTAGGATTAAAGTGAATTCTTACTACACATTGTTAGAAACAAACTTGGGTCCCCATTTATCAAACACTGAGAAACTGCAAAATGCCAAAACATCAGAAGAACAAAGTCACGAAACTGAACTCACCACCTATTTTGTCCCATTATGAGCTCAGAGCTTCATAAATAATGAAGCTGATATATTAGTGCATCACAAACAGATGGTGAACTAAGACTGTTTCAGACAAAGAGAGCGAGTAAAGCGGTGACACGGTGCAGTCATTCAGCAACAGCAAATACATACAAGCAACAAAAACAGTGAGACTCGGTACATTAACTATGATCTTCTGTCAAACCCATCGATACATTCTGGCAGTGCGCCTCTTTTCACATTGCATAGCCGACACAAAACCCTTCACATATCAAAGTAAACTACATAAGCTGAGTCATGGTTTGCACAGATGGATTTGCAAGGAAAGGATCGGGACAGGGTGCAAGAGGGATAGAAGCTGATATGTGTATTTAATGTTCCTTTAACACAGCACTAGTTGAGCCATTGGTTTTGATCTGGGGTTTCTATGGTTTACTAAGCTTATTACTTTATAATACATGTCATGACAGAGTCACTTTATCAGCAGATATTTATTGATGGTTCATTTTGTATCAGCTGGTTTGAGATTTAAAAATCTAAAAAGTTTTAGTTTAGCAGTTTGCAAATTTCTTTTTCAATGAATCTTCATATATCACAGTTGAATGGATGTGCTGACCAAGGATGAAAAAAAGAGGATGGTGTCTTGAGGTACATATGATGCTGCTGCTTCTGACACAGATCAGTTTTGTAAAATTTAAGTCCTTTGTCCCTCGTGCCGTCTCACTGGTACCGCTCCTGGTAGTCCCCGTTCTCATAATGCTCCTCCTCCTCTTGCATGGTAACTCCTCTCTTCTTTTTCCAGCCCTGTTTTCGACCGGATGAATTGTCTGTTGTTCCGTAAGTCTTTTTGGGAGCCACCATGTTCTCGCAAGTGAGCTCTGACTCCTCAGCCAGCTCGTCCTCATCAATAATGCCACATTTATCCTCACTTGTGCTCTCAGGGTTGGCCCATTCCTGCTGCTCTCCTGAAGCGAAGATAGCGTAAAAGATGACCCCTGAGTAATGCACCATGGCTGCAATAATAAAGACATTCTGCCACTCCAGACGAGTCTGTAGGGAGATGAAGAGAGTCAATGAATTTTCTGTCAGAGGAAGAATTACTGATATTTCACTGATGTACCACTGAGGTAATGCTGTAAATCAGCTCCCTTACTCATGGCACTGAAAGTCCTACAGTTGCAATGTGTATAATAAATTTAACATTGCCATAAATTTTTAACATCCTTTGATAGGTGCAAGATTACATACAGCAATTCAATGAGCCACAAAACACTCATTCCTCATATCATTTATATACGAAATGGGAAGAAACATGTCAGTGCGTCTTGTAATGTTCTGTGTATATATTTTAGAATAGGAGACAAAGAAAAACAAAAACTATATTGTTATAGGAGGGAAAAATACCTTGTGTTTAGTCATAGCGCCAACAATTAGCGGGCACACCATTCCAGACAGCGTTCCCACCCCATTGGAAATACCCATCAGGATGCTGGCGTAGCGAGGAGCAATATCCAGATGATTGACATTGAAACCTGACAAGACAGTGCACACAGTGTAAACATACTTATAGCACAAATTTTGATTTTTACAGCATTTGAATACTTTGTGTGCCTAAACCTCCTTCAGACTCACATTATTGGTCAAAAAACACAAATCTTTAAAGCTTTATTTTGACCCCAACCATAAATCTCTAAGGTTTATCGTGCATGCTTGTTTTGTTTTACTGCTATGAAATTGACCATATCTGTTAACAGATATGATCACAAGGTAAAAACAATACCAGCTTTCCTGCTGTGGCTGGTAAAGATGTAATAACTTTTTGAAAGGTCTTTCAGAATCTAGAAAAAGCAATATAAAACACAAGACAAATAAAGATCTGCAACATCCTGCACACCTTTGTGCACCTTTATCATTTATGCAGTCAAGCTCAAAGTCTTAAATTAAAAGCAAAACACTAAACGTCAAATACCTGAGATGGCAAATCCACTAAAGCCTACAGCCAACACAAGGAAGGAGATGGCGACACCTCGAGTGTGAGAAAACCCGACCACCAACAGTAGCGTAGCCTCCATACCGAACCCTGTGAGAAAAAGTTCTTTATTAATTAATCACATTATGTACTAGACAACACCAGGTCTTTGTAAGCTTCCCAACCTACCGACCTAATGGAAAAAATGGGAATGCTAGAGGGAATGCCAGTGACACCATTCAAGTAGATATACTGGAAAATATAGAAACATGTTCGGCATACAGTGGTCTAAAGGGTATGTTAGTTGCTTTCTTAAATCAAAATGAAAGGAACTAGTAATTAAATGATTTTTCATACTATTTTTTTTCCAGTAATTTACTCACATTGTTGCAGTGTTATAGGCTAACAATTTTAAAAGTTGGATCAGTCCTGGATCTAGCGTGCACAATGTTTTATTTGTAATATAATTATTTTATATTAATATTATTCACAGTGCTTAACAAGACCACCATACGTGTTTTATACATGTTGGCTTTTTTGCCCCTGAAAAAAACCTAAACAATAATACATTTTTAAGCAATGTTTTGTTTTGTTTTTAAATGCCAGCAAATATGGTACAAATTAAAAGTCATGTATGAAAATTACTTTTTTAAACAAATATGTTTAAATATTTGTTTAAATTCACTTTTTTTCTTTTTCTTTTTTTTTAAAGTGAATTTTCTGGCATTTTCAAAAAAATATTTCAGGCTTTACAAGGTTCGAAAATGTAGGAAAGACCAAACAGTAAATCATTACAGAAAATGACTTTCTTCTATGTTATTTTTGTGTTTAGTACAAAATGCCAAAGTCAGATCGTTGGGATTAACAGAAAAACGATGTGTTTACACTGATGTACCTCCACAGTTCATGAGTTTCCTCACGTTAGTGGTAGACATGATTTTGTTGCTGCGTAAGAAGTCAGCCAGCTGTCCTCCAATAGGAACAACAATTGTCATCACCATGTGGGGGACAGCAGACAGGATCCCCACCTGTATGTAATTAAGGTTAGAATATTTTGAACCTAAGAAATATTGAATGGATCTTTGTGGACATTTTCTGTAACTGTGGTTGTTATTGTAAGGCCAACCTTGCTGATGGGGAATCCAAATACTTCCTCAAAATACGCTGGCTGGCTGATGAGAAGCAGGTAGAAGGTCCAGCTCCGGCAGAAGTTGGCCACAATGATCGCATAGACAGGCATGGAGGTGAAAAAGCGACGCCACGGAGTTTTGAATTTCTATAACCGGAGATAAGGAGTCAGTGTGTACTGCATATAGACGGTCAGCTCACTAAATTTTTGGACACTGATACAGCTTTTGTAGTTTCTCCTCTGTGCACCACCACGTTGGATTTTAAATCAAACAAGATGTGATCAAAATTCAGAGGTTCAGCTTTAATTAATAGGGTTCAGCCATTCTGTTGTGTGTGGATGTGTGTGTCAGTATAGATGCAGTAGACACACCTCGGTTACACTCAGTTTGTGCATTGTTTCACCGATGGTGGACTCTATGTACGTCCTCTCTTCGTCTGTGATTGTAGGATGGTCAGCAGGACTTCCATAAGCTAGCAGGAGCCACAGCGTGTACCATAATATCCCGAAAACACCTTTTCACAAAACAACAGTGGCAACAGGTGAATTCACACATTCGTACACATGTACCCTTAGAGAAGCTTATCTTGGCAGTCAAAGACTTTGTAAAGTATGAAAGAGTAGCTTGAGGGCAGGACAGATTAATTACTCCAAGTCCAGACCTCATTTGGACCACAAGAATTTCTCATTATTAAAAAATGAAACAAGTGTGAGACATACAGCCCAGACAGGAAAATGTTAATTTACATCAATAAATCATGAGATGATATCACATCAGAACCAGAGTAGCTCTTTTATTAAAACACGTTTGCCAAAGTGTGAATTTAATGTGAGTGCTAATCATTCCAATCAAACTCAAAAGCAGAGCAGATAAGGCTTATTGTGCAATGCATAAAAACGCCAGAGAACAGCGTGACAGTCGAGGATGTTTAAAGCCACTTTTCGTGACATTAAGTTGTGCTTTCAACATTTCATTTACAGTCTATCCAGCCATTCATTTAATTCATATAGACCTAATAATGTCTAACTAACAGCATATTACTATTGTCACACCTTTCATCTGCTCTAATAATCTACCTATGAATATTGGTAACCATTTAATAATGAAGACTTTCTCATTTTCATTTGAGTTTGCAGTGAATCATGTTCATACATTAACATTAATTAATAGATTTTTAGATTTTAGATTCTGTTCGATATAAAGTAACAATCTGGCAGCTCCAAAGTCTGATTTTTACAACTTTTAGAAAGGGTGAGCAGTTCTCTCAGATCACTGCTGATTGCTTTCCTCCTTGGCGTTGTGTGAAAACACACACCTGAATGCTCCAGACCAGCACAGTGCCAAAGCATCAGTTAATCGAGCGCTGGCAGCTACTTACCCACTGATTAGTTTTTTGTTTTTCACACACCGTTTCTGTAGTGCTACATGATGGGGTTTTTATGTGAAAAAACCTTAAACCTTAGAACTGACAGAGGAGGTACTTTCTTTTTCTTCAAGCATTTCTGAAGCATTTCTTATTTTTTTACTTACTCTTACATTGATCAAACATCAGCCTTACCATAAACATAGAAGACCGAAGACCAGCCGACGTACTGAACGAGCACTCCGGCTAAAGGCATGGCGATCACTGCTCCTGCATAGGATCCTGGGAACAATGGATGTCAGATGTCATTGCCAGTGTATTATCATTCCAGCTGTGATATTCAAATATGATGTTTGATGTTGCTTCTTGCACATTTTTTCCCTTACGCAATCTTAAACAAGGCCTAACCTAAATCGTTATGCTGCTGCAATGACTCTAACACAACAAAACTACCCTGCACAGTGAAGATGTGTCAACAAAAACATCAAAGAAACACATTAGTTTCATTGAATAAATGCTGTCAAAATCAGTCATTAACACTGCCATTACAGAGAGGGTGTTTTAGTGCATTTTCTATTATCTGACAGATTCATGAACGCTGTTGTTTTGAATAGAGCCAGGAGCGTGAGAGTGCTTTTGGACAGTGAGCAAGGTGACACTTCATTTAGGTGAATAGAGGGAGAAGCTCCTTCAGATTACGCAGATGAGCTGTGCTCATTTGCAGACAATGTCAAGAGTGTTTTGATGCATGGGTTGTCATGGTACCAATTTAAAGTGCAACATGGTGATTTAATTTCAGCAGACACAACAAGGGGACCGGATCTGCGAAACAAAAAAATGAGCTCTCTCACGTCCATTTGCTGGCCGATTGTGTGACACGTGTAGCACAAATAGAATCCGCAGACAATTTTCACAAGAAGAATCACAGGCATCACCCACCACAGAATGAAGTTGTTGCCAGTCGACTTCGTTCAAGAGGAGGCGCCCATTTGGACCACATCCCATGACATGCTGGGTAGGTAACACCCTAGCAGGGACATGGTGTGGAAGTTGGGAAAGATCAAAGACTGATAAGGTGGAAATGCTTCAGAGCAATAGTTTGACATTTTGGGTAACATTCTCTGTTTTCTTGCAGTGAGTTTGATCATTTCATTGATAATCTTCTTTAAATGTGTACGGTAAATAAAAAGGCAGAAACTGGTTAAATGCTTAGTGTAATTCCTCTAAAGATGACAGATGATAGATTTTAACTTGGGTTAGTGCAAAAACCAAGAGTATTAGGGTCGTTGAAGTAATACTTTGGGGTTATTTTTTCTCAGAATTTTTACTTTTGTCCGATAACTGTGATAAAAGTCAGATTTCTGATGTTTTTTGCAAAAAAAAAGTCATAAGTTATTTTCTTTTTTTACCCCATTGACTCAAATCTTCTTCTGTATAGAACAGAAAGCTCCACAGTTGAAAATAAACCCAAGGTAGAAAACTCTACCCACACACTCACATATGAAAAGCTCACAGTTGTCATTTAGTCGTTTAACTGGACCTCTCAATTCTATTTTTGTGTTGGTGCCAGTTGGAGCATTTCTAACTGAGTCATTTGGAGTGCATTCTGCTAACATAGCCAAAAAGTCCAGATGTTAAATTACAGCATTTAATGTAATTTTATTGAGCACCGTATATCTATGTCATATACCCATTAGAGCCTATGGCTAGACCAATGCTCCCCTATTTTGCTAGTGGTTGCTTATGACTTGGCCTTCCACCCCCCCAATTTAAACATGCCTACTTCTAGTGCCAGCAACGCGAGATAGTTCAGCCTCAATGCTGACGAGTAAAAATGCAAAGAGTCTGCACCTCACATAAACATCTGGTACATTTTGTTTTCTCCATACCAAAACAGGCAAGCTGCGACAAAACAAATATTCAGATTTTTACAAATGTCAAACTACTCATTGTTTTCCCTCACATTTGGTCCCCCGCCCTCTTCTTACCTCCACTAAGCCCTGAAGGATGCGAACAAACATGACGCAGCCGTAGTGCGCTCTGGCTGCAGATGGGATGAACATATTGAGCAGTGATGTCAGGAAAATGGCAGCTCCGAACACCCTGCAGAAAAACTGGAATGTCATCATTTTGTACCATTGGTGAAAAGGAGTAAGTCTGGATAACTTAATCTTCATAATAATCAAACACACTTTCCAGGAATTGTACTTTTTCGATACAACCAACAAAGCTTTGGATAAGTTTAGAATAAAGATGTGAAGCAGAGAATGAGCCAGGTTGCTTGGAAAATCAGTTTAAAATGAGAAATACATTTCACAGACAAGTTTCCAAACTTTAACCCTGTATTTTCATACAGTCTGTTTTTAATATATAAGAGAAAACCGTGGATCCAATTAAGGTCCACAAGGTCTGTGAAGCATAAAAACAAAACAAAGACTTGCAACCCAGTGTTTGCAAAGCTGCTGCAGATGCCTGATATTGGCAGGCAGTATGTCTCCACACTAACTGGCGGTCAAAGCATCTCAGTCAGCTTTATAATGAGACATATCTCGCACCTCTGTCTTTCACTGCCTCAGATAAAGACATCCCATTCAATCCACAAGTTTCTGCTTTATCGCCACAGTGCCGGTTATAGCTCCCCCTCTCTTTTCTCCTTCGCCCCCCCTTCTCTGTTTCCAAAACAGTGTGTAAGTGACACTTGTAATATTCCAGCGGCTGGTGTTTCAGAAAGAAATCAGAGGCAGGATCTTTCATTATTAACTCTGTCAGTGGCGTGTCCTCTTTTCCTGTGAAGCTTTTATTACAGGACTGCTATCTGCTCCATCAACACCGCTCACCACACCGTACAGCGTTAACCCTTTATCCACACGGTCTGAGGAGGATACTGAATAAAAATACTGGATTTTTGGGATTTTTTCTTTGTGATCCTGTCTTAAAGGGGACCTGTTATGCTCACTTGGAATTCTATATTTTTATTCTTGCACTCTTCTAGCATAATTTTGTATGATTTGTGATTGTTTACAATAATACGTATTTACTTTATCGGCCTGGGGCAGTTCCTAAGTGCATCCAGTCTATTAAATAAGCTATTTTATTTCGCTTACTCGTCACTTAAAGCCACATTTCTTCTGATTGGCTGTCCTTCATAAACAGCAGTGCACCTGAGAGGACTGTATTAGGCACATCCTCTGTCCCTGACATCATAGAGTGCCAAACAATAGAAAAACAACCTAAAAAGGAGCATTTAGAGCAGTCTAAGTAGTTTTTCATTCAAAAGGATTTCTTCTATACACAATAAAGGTATAATAAATACCTTTAACATAAATAATTAGGGCTGCAGCAAGTTCATCTTCATTATAAACAGCATAGTTTTTCCCCATAATGCACTGTGGTCAACAACCCAAAGTTATTTTTGGTACTCTTTAATTCACAAGTGCTCCAAAGTAGTAGAATGAAACTGCTTGTTCTCTAAAATGACCAAAAGTGTAAAATCGAGTAATGATGTGAAGCAGGGACTGCAATGTTGCTGTGAAACTAGAGACTAGTCATGAAGGGTTTTCGACCTGTTGGCGGATAGCTTGTTGGAGATGAAACCACCGGGGATTTGAGTGACGATGTAGCCCCAGAAGAAGGAGCCGTGGATCAGCCCCACCGTCTCTGGGTCCCAGTTAAACTGAGCTTTCTGCAAAGAGGGGAAAATGCAACAGGGAGGTTTTATAAATTAAACTTTTTATGAAAGGCACATCACTATTTTCTTAAAATTCAGTGGTGAACAATAATGCACCCGTACTCCATTCAAGAGATAAAGGGTTTTTCTGCGGTCTTGATCAATTTTCAGATATGCTTCAGTTTGGTGCTTTGAATTTTTTTCAATTATTATTGCTTCAGATCTGAAGCAAGATCTAACAGTGTCTCAAGACACTGGCAATATCACAGACAAGCCCATAAAGGCGTGAATCAAATTGGTAAACAGCAGTTTTGTCAATGTTGTCAGTGGTGGAATGGAGAGATACGGAGATCTTCTACCTGAAGCACCGGGGTCCCATTTATATAGACGGTGTTGTTGTTAACCATCTCCACGATGGCCACACCAAGATTGCATCGAATGCCGAAGGAGATGCAGAAGCCCAGGCCGCTGAGGATGGCGATGATATAACGCTTAGGCAGGCCGCCACAGCTGCAGTCCAGCAGCGGCGCGGGGCGTGGCGTTGATGCCACCGGTCTCCCATCCTCTGTCAGCTCAATATTCCCCTCTTCTTCCACATTACTGCCATCTATTTTCCTGCAGAGCAAAAATCAGTCAGAAGTTGTGTGTTCAAAATATCATCTTCAAAAATATATTTCTTTATCTCCACATTCTTCTTATAATTTTAGTGTCTCGTGGACTCGACACGATGGGAATCTTTTAAAGTTTAATTTGTTTGAGACGAGATTACACAGAATGCGGCTTTGTGTGTGGACTTTCTTGGTAACTCATGTGATGACAAAAGTAGATCAGTAACAAAGCCACATCCTGCAGAGGAAAAAGGAGAAGAAAGCCAGCAAACTGCTTTTTTCAAATGCATCCCCTCTGCTTGTTCCGCCACCCAGGATCCACCGTTTCAGTGCCCCCTCCTCTCATCTGCCTGCAGAAGATTTATTATTTAGTGCAGTTCTCCTCCAGCGAGAAACAACCAAGACTGTACGAATGTATGAGGCTGGAGATCTACATGTACTCACAAACTATAGGCCTATTTCACCACTCGCGCAATGCTCTAAGATACATTAAAAAAAATCTTAAAGGATTATATAAATTTATCACAAATAACAATGACAATATTAATTTAGACCTAACAGAACTACAGCATGCACTAATAGAGACTGCTGATAGAGTAACTGAATATAAGGAATATGCCATTTGGGTATTTAGAGATTTAGAGAAGTCCGTTGAGACCATTGATAATAAATGACCATTATTTATTAATAAATTTAAATAGATACAATCTATCTATCCTCACTGCTGTCTGTGTTTGTGATTGAGGAGCTACAGTGATGACAGCTGGTGTGTACAGTCACTGAGGAATATTTCAAGGAATAACATGTTTAAAGTGTTCTAAGTTTTGCCATATTGAAATATAATGAATTAGATGTGTTGTTTGCGACACTTTTGCATTTGAAGTCCTGAAATGAAAATGTTGCAAAAGCAAAAGGAAGTCATTGTCAGGAAAACATGAAAGTATTTAAAAAATGTCCCCCTGACTCATTCTACTTATAAATATTATATGAGCACGTTATTGTAACCATGCATTTATTTCAAAACTGAATTTTGGTGTTGCAGGTGGTTTTGGGTGGAGCTCAATTATATGACCAACTAAAACTAATTCTTATTATCTGTTTTATAATATCGATTAATATGTTTAATATTATTCACCAAACATTACTGCCATATATGGACTTCCACTTTTTAAAATTGTGTGGAGCCTGTCATGTATATCTTTTGTGGTTTTTTGCTTGTTTTTTTGTTTTTTTTAATTAAGACATTACTGAAACTAATTCAGATGCTTATCTCATTGTCACAGACTTAGATAATTCTGTGTATTGTTGTGTGTATTGTCTAGAAATTTAGAATCTTTTCTTTAAAAAGTGAAGAATGTCCCTTTTCCACAAGTTCATAATATCTGTCACTTTGACACAAGGGGAAAAAAAGACTTTAAAGGAAATGTATTTAAATTTTCCTAAAATGCCTTTAATCTTCCTTATTCATGAAGATTCCTTCATCATACACAGACACACAGAGTCCTCTGTGAAATATGTATCAGATATGAAATATGCATTAATATCTTAAAATAAAATCTGTGATTACATCATCAACATTGCTTGGGAAGCAAAAGAATAAAATATTTATTTATCGTCAGAATCTGGGGAGAACACGCCGGGCTTAATGTGCTCGCTCACAGTGTTGCATCCCTTTTACTGCAGATGCTTTATTCTTCTTATTTGAGCATTTTCACAAAGTCTCCACAGTTTCTTTATGCATGCAGTGCAGATTGCAGCTTATAAAGCATGCACAGACACTTCATGCCTTCTTCCCACCACTCGCCATTCAAACTCCACTCACCTTTGCAGTTTTCCCAGAGAGTCTCCCACTGTGTTTTTCACCTCTTCCTTCCCTGGTTTAAACACCTGCTCCTTCAACCCTGCTAAACCAAAAGGCATTGTTGTTCTCCGGGGGGTTTTCTCCTCACCTTTTATCCCAAAATAGAGTCTTGATACCTCAAGAGGTACCCTTTGTTCTGAGCAGGGACACAAAAATCCACTAAAAGCTGTTCCTCATTCCTTGAGTTTGTGGCACTGAGGATTGGCTCCACCTTTCAGTGGTACCAGGAGTCCCTCAGAGGTAAGAAGGAGTTTTGGTATGGGATACTAAAGTATTCATCAGTTACCAAAGCACCGTTTGGTCAGAGCATCTGGAACTTGTTTCATCTCTGAGAGATCCATCCAGGACTGACCAGAGAGGCAGGAAGCAAATGAAAGGGTAGAATCCAGTTTTTAGTTTCTAGGCATTGTGGTCTCTTTTTTGTCTGCAGCTGAACTGAATGAGCTGCTTAGATCTCCTCTCCATCTCATAACCTATCCATTCCTGATGAGGAGGGGCAGGTGCAGCTGGTTTTCAAAACCCAGCCCCTCGCTTTTACACATCATCATCTTCAACATCACCTCCCTGTGCCACCCCTTGAAGCTACTTGGGTTCATCTGATAGTAGGCCAGTGGACAAACTATTAAATATGAATGAGCTTGACATGTTGCACTGAGGAGAGACAGGAGTAACTGGACGTGTGTGGTGTAAAGTGGGAGCAGCTGAAACCTAAGACAGAGCCATCGAGGATCAGGTTTTATATCCTGTTCTCTGCCGGTTTTGTACCTAAATTTAGTAGGAAAGGAAAGGAAATAAGAACTGCTGCAACAAGGCTGGTGCCAGCAACAGTACCATTCTAACCCATTGGACACTAATGGGCATTTCTGTGAAATACTTACTGTGTGAGAGTGAATTTTCTTCTTTGCCCGTCATTAAATATGCAGCATTTTAAAAACAAATACATTGAGATTTTAAAATTTAAACAGCAGACTGGTGGGTGTTGGCCTGAACCCAGAGAGTCTGTCATAGCTCTTGAAAAGTGACTGAACAGGGTAATTCTGGCACTCGTGCCATTTATTTACTGCATACACAGAGTAAGAGCTCAGCCCCCAGTGAAATTCTTTCAACAAATAATGTTCCTTTTACTAGAAATGTTGCAGCTCCTAGTTTCAGATTTCTTATGTTTTTATTAACATTTTATGATGCAATTTTAGGTTGATTGATGATATAATAATCTTTATTAGTCTCACTACATTTTTTTGTTACAACTCAATCTAAAGAAATAATAATAATAAAGAAATAAGATATGCATAATAGATGGGGTGACTACAACAGAATAGTCCAAACATAATATCTGTAAAAATATCTAAACTCTCAGATTAAACTGGATACTGTAGATTCATCTTGGAAGTAAGAAAGACATTTCTGAATATGAAGGCTATTCTTCATTTCTAAACAAGTAATTCCTGCCACCTAGTGGCCAGAATGGGGAACTGACGTGAGACAAAAGTAACGTATATGTTTACACTGATGAGTTGAATGTGAGATCAATGTTATACGTAATTTTCTTCAGGGATTGCTGAATTTACATCCCAATATGCTTATGTTCACATAAAAGGGAAAAAAACTTTTTAGTCCTGTCCCTGCAACACTGAAAAACATCGCAGATTCCTGGAAGCTTGCAACTGATTTTAGTCCAAAGTTGTAAATCTGACAAGTCCATTACTTGTCAGAAACAAACTACTTGTCAGTGGCTGATGATTAAATTCCATTTGTCACATCTGACCTCTTGCAGGCATGCAGCTGGACCTCCTGCAGTTCACTTACTGTCCTGAAATTAGGAAGGATGATGCATTCATTTACCTCCTGTACGGATTCCAGAATCCTGGACGCACTGTAAAGGTGGTATTTTTTGACTTTTTCAATTTCTTCAGCAAAATTCAGCTGGCACTGCTGAGGGACAAGCTGGAAGGAGCAGGAGTTGATGTTGATGTTACTGCATGAGCAATTGACTATACATCATCAAGCGACCACAGTATGTGAGGCTTCCGAATTGTGTGTCTGAAGTGGTGGTATGTAGCACGGGGGGTCCTCAGGTGATGGTGCTCTCTTCCTTCCTCTTTACACTCTTTACACTGGACCATGTATGTATAAGTCCACCTAAAGTTCGATGATACAGCCATTGTTGGAAACACCTGAGCCTAGAAGTGACATCTCATTTACTGATGACTCCTCCACACCTGGATCACCTGTCAGTATGCTTGGAAATCTTTTGCCATGTCATCATCATTTCAAAGAATAATAAGCAAGCTTCTACCTCAATCTTGTTTTTATGGATTTTAAATGTTTTGACAAATGTGAAGCTAGAGACACCAGCAACCATATTGAAATGTCTTCAGAGGCCAGTGCAGGTGACATAGAGGGAAATGTAAAACTGCTGGCTAAGGATAAACATAATTTCTGTAAAATAATAATTCACATTGGCAGCAATGATACCCAGAGGTCACTAAAATTAATTAAATCGGTGTGTAACTTTGCCAAAAACAATGTCATACTCTGTAGTTTTCTCTGGTTAGTTTCATAATCTGCTCCAATCTATATTAATGTAAATTGTGGAGGAAAATGTTTTTTTTGTATAATTAATTGGGGATGCGGAAACTGTCTCTGCTTGCCTTTCTGTAAAACCACTGCTTTATGCATCATTGCTCCCACTGCAATTTATGGACACATAAAAAAAAAATCTATGTAATCATTTGTACACAGTATAGTATTTTGGACGATTTATACACTATTTTTTCCCTTTTTTCCCCAATGTTTATCTCTAATTCACTTTCTTTTCCTGTCCCATGTGCTGATGTAACAAGTGAATTTCCCTGATGTGGGAGTAATAAAGTCTTAGGTCTATGTTTACAGCCAGAATGGGTCCAATAAATAACAAGAGTATTGATCAATTGATCCAAGTATGTTATATTTTATTTTATTTGTTAATTGTTTTATGAACTAATGTAAAGACAAAGGAAAGGATGTGGTGGATGTGGCGCAGGAGGTAGAGCAGGTCACTCACTAATCAGAAGGTTGGTCCCTGGCTATCCCAGTCTGCATGCCAGGTATCCTTGTGCAAGATACAAACCCCACATTTATCTCTGATGCACCCATATGAGTGTGAATGCCTAGATAGAAAGATAGAAAGCACTTAAAGCATAGAAGAAAGTGCTTGTGTGAATGGGTAAATGTGGCATGTTGTTTAAAGCACTTTGAATGCAATAATAATAATTATTGTAATAATAAATATGAAGTATTATAAATAAGAGGAACTATCGGGGTAATGGCTGAATCTCATTATCTCGTTAAATTAGGTAACTAAACATACTTTAAAACCAACTTTGAGAAAAGTTTGAGATTTTGATATTGTTAGGATCCTCGAGTATTGTCTCAAAAACTTTTTCCTTTTGTTTTTCTGTGTCACTCTGACAGGCATGCACGGCTGCTTTGAGACTTTTGATCTCTTTTGGGGGCTCTATCAGACACTTTATTAATAAGCTTTTCTTTATGCTCATTTGCTATTAAGATTTCTTTTCCGAACCCCCTCCCTTAAACTTGGAATTTTAACTAATTAACTGTCCCAGGATTTGTCAGGATAAATAAGTGCTTTTAATTATTATTTTTATTATTATTGTATTATTATATGGTTATTGGGATAACCAATCAGCCATTTTGACGGGAGGTCGGTGAAGCTACAGCGGTGATTCTGGTTGTGAACCGGTAGGAGGAGACTGTGCTCTGTCTTCCGTGTTTCCCTACTATGTCCTAATTGCACTTCGCTCTAGTACCTTTGTGCACGTTTCGATGCCCTCCCTCTGCTTTTAAATCTTCATTAGCGATAAACAAGCGGGTTTTAGAATATTTTTGCTCGTTTTGTGCCCCCCTCTCGCAGCGTCTTCACTAACAAACACTATCTGGTAGGAGTCGACTGCTTCATCCATGCATTGGAGTCCCGGGCCCCAGCGTACCGGCTCCGGCTCCAGCCATGTCGGCCAGGAATGCAACGGCTACCGGCGGTGACAGAGCGGTAGGCGAACCGGCAGGTAATTCAAACATGTTAAAGCTATTATCACTTTGAATAATAGGGGTGAAATTCAAATGTCTTCGCGGCACTGACATTTAGGGCAAATAGAAAAGAGAAGCGATGTTTTTCCGGCAGTTCTTTTGTTGCTCGTTGACTGTAACTTTGCGCTATTCCAAAAACTAGGTCAGTAGATCAGTAGACCAAGCTCGCCCTCTAACGCTATGCCATTTATGTAAGACAACACGACGCTGTTAAGCGATACCACTCTGCGAATTGCGCTAAATATCCGCCTTGCGTGTTTATCAGTTAAGGATAAGGGTTTTTATATGTAAATTGTGTGTTTTAATGCCTGTTAATGCTAACTTGAAAGATTAAACCACGTAAATGTTAGCTTAGCAGCGGCACCGAGGCGAGGCCGGGGCTACACACTCGGCTAAGATGAGTCTGTTAGAGGAGGTGCTGTCATAGCCAAGGACAGATCGTTCTTGCCGATATTTCTGACGCTTATGTTCTGTTTTCTGATGAAAGTGGTGTTTAATCAGCGTCAGTGCTTGCTGCTATTTAGGCCCAACTAAGGTCGGTGCCTCTATCCGTTGACTCAGCTCGGCCATTTGTCTTACATTAGCTTGGATGAAGCAGACATTTCTGTAAGTTCATTTTAAAGCTCCGCGGTCTCTTTACACAGTGTAAAATATACTCGGAACCCTTCAGTTAGTTGATTTTAGTACAAACTAAAGACCAGTGCCCATAAAAATAAACATAACTGTATATAGTGTAATTTCGGTGAGTCAAAGCCAACATTTGTAAAGAATATCATTCGCAAATGGTAGTTTATAAATTCCGATAATAAGAACTGAAGTCATGTATGAATGTACATACATGTGTGTTTGTGTGTGTGTGTGTATATATATATATATATATACACACATGTATGTACATATATATTTATATATATATATATATATATATATATACACACATGTATATAAATTTATATATAAATATGTATATAATTATGTATATTTGTGTATATATATATATATAATATATATATATATATATTACACATACATACATTAATATATTGTATTATATAAAGTATACTATTAATATATATATATATATTTTATATATATATATTTATATATACATAGTATATTATACATATATATATATACATATATATGTACATACATGTGTGTATATATATATATATATATATACACACATATGTCATATATATAATTCTGTTTACATGTGTGTATTATATATATATATATATATATATATATATATATTTATATATTAAGTATATATATATATATATATATATATATATATATTAATCTATCATACATGTCTAGTGTATGTTAAGTAATATATACTATATATATCACTACATATATATATATATGTATATAAGTTTATATATATATATATATATATATATACTATATATATATATATATATATATGTACTTACATACATGTGTGTGTATATATATGTACTTACATACATGTGTGTGTATATATATA